CGGGGGAGCGCACACATCGTGGGATGCTAGGCCGGACCGAAGCGCGGGAGGCTGGGGCTGAGCGCGGGAGCCACGGGGCTGACGCGGGAGCGGGGATGGCTGAGCCGCGCGGGAGCGGGGGTGGCTGCCGGAGCGGGTGGCTGCTGAAGCGCGGGGGCTGAGCCGGGATCGCGGAGAGCGGGAGCGGGTGGCTGTCGGAGCGGGGTTTATTTTTTTATATTTTTTTTAATTTGACCAGCGGTTTAAGACCGCCGGTAAGCCTCCGGACAAAATTGCCGCCGGAAAAAATCGTCGAAATTCATTTTCCTACGCCGTTTTTACCGGCGGTAATTTAACCTCCGGAAAACTGCCGGAAAACTACAAAACCACCGGAAAAGGTTCAATTACCGCCGGAAAAGGCCACCGGAAATGTGTGATTTTCCTGTAGTGTATGTTATTTCTAGAAAGTAACATCTTCCCATTAATATTGATTCTTATGATATTTTATTAAGTGATGTTTCTAAAAATTATATGTTTAATTTATAGGATGCTTGGCATGCATTTAGAGATAAGAATTATTGTAAGAATGTTTAGTCTATGATTTGGCATAAAAGTATTCCAAACACTATTTATGTTTTTATTTGGAGAATCATGCATAAATATATACATATTGATGAGAATTTGAGGAAAAGAGGTTTTATTTTAGCATCCAAATGTCAATGTTGTTATCATGTGGAAAACATGCATCATGTGTTCAATTTTGGTCCTATTACTGTTAAAACTTGGACCTATTTTAATGATATTTTTAGGCTGAATTAGTTTAATGCTAATATGTTCATCAATGCTTTGCTGGATTCTTGGTTCATTAATTCTAAAGGGCATTTTAGAAATGTTATTCCCTCTCTTATTATGTGGTATCTTTGGCTTGCTAGAAATAACTTTTTTTAGCAATAATCATATGAATTATCATCATATTATTCAGAATATTAAATACAAAGTGTTTAATCTTTATTCTTCCAACCTCTTGATCTTTTAAAAAAATTTGGAATTATTATTTCATGGCTCAATATTCTGGTATATCGCTGCAGATTAGCAATTCTTTGGAGGATCCTAAATTTTTTTATTGGCTTAAACCTCCTCTTTATACTTTTAAACTTAATGTTAATGTGTTGGTTAAAAATTCTGCTTTGAGTGTGATGGTATTAGAGATGACCAGGGGAATATTATCATGGCTTTTACTATCCCCTTGCAAAAATGTTCTATTGTTGTAGCGGAGTTATCTGCTATTTATACATTTCACAGTTTGAAATTATGTCTCTCTCTCTTTCCATAACTAATATTGGAATTGAGCTAGATGTTACTTCTAATATTCATTTCCTTATGTAGTCTAAGGATAACATTTGTAATCCTGATCTTTTTTATCTTCTTTGAGAAATTAATTAACTTTTGATTTTTGTTAGCTTCTTTATTTCTCATGTTCATAGGGAAGGTAATGCTTGTGCTGATTGGTTAGCCAATCTTGGTTGCAATTTGGAGTGTTATACTGATTTTACTTTTATCAATTTACCTAATAAACTAAAAGGCCTTATTGGGATGGATAAATTGGGTTTTCCTTAAGTTTGGATTTAGTGTTTTTTGATTTTTGGGACTTGTGGGTATGCTTTTCATTTGGTTTTGCTGGGCTTTTGGTTGTGCGGACTATTTGGTGTCTCTTATGGTACTATTTTGTGCTTGGGTGATTGGTCTTATCATACTTGGTTTTGGTTTATGTAATATCAATATTGTTTCATTTCCTATTAATCTTTATTTAATCATTTCTTGATGTTATTTTTGGATGGACTTGAGCTATGATTGTGTTATTTGGTCTTCTAATTTTATCCTTAATTGCTGCTCTTCTTTTCCCTTGGTGGTTATATTTGGGTTGTTGTGTTTGTCCCTATTCTGTTTGGAAGGGACTATTAGCTTTATATTGTGTTGGATGGGTACTTTTGGCTTCTTGGTTTGTCCTTTAGGAATGTTTGTGTTTTAGTGCTGGTCACTGGGTTAGGGGTGTAATTTTCTAGTTTAATATGTTTTTTTTGGTAATGTGGGTAGGCATTCTTTAGGTAGAACTATTTTGGTGGGTATACCCGATTATCTATTTAGTTCTTTTAATTCTAACATCTTCTACATAGTCTATTTGATGTTCATGAGTGCATTTGGGTTTAGAATTAAGAAAATTAGGGTTTTCATCATGACGTCCTCTATGATACTACCTTCCTGAGCTCAGCTAGCATCTGCCTTGCCTTATCTAGTGTTTTTGGTAATTTATAATGGTTTTTAGCTGATATGAGGCTTGTGTATGCTGGGAATGTTGTATTCTTCATTAATTTTGATGGTCCTCTGTCTAATTGGTATACTTGGATTTTTTTTTGCACTTGGGCTAGCAAAATGTTAATTGCTATTACACCTCTCATTTCTACTCATTTGGGTTTTTTTGCTGTATCATTTTTGTACCTACTATATAATAGAAGGGTTTGGTTGTGGCTATTTTTTGGCTATTCTGTTGTTATCAATGCTATTGTTGACAGGGTTTTCTTCCCACTTCTTTGTTTTGTTGTAGTTTTTGTGTTGCTGCTACTATTCTTGGGTTTACTACTGCTTTATTTTTCTTTGGTTCTCAAGTCTCTTTTGTGGTGCTGTATTTGGCATGTTGGTTTATCTAGTTTTCATTGATATTTGGGATGACTATGAACATATCCTTGTCCATCTGGTTATTGATTTCTGTAGGTGCTATAGCATTTTATTGGGTTGCCTTAACTCCTTATTCGTCTTGCAGCCCATGAAGGTCATTATTTATGTCCTTATCTTGTTGGACTGCTGCTGTCAGGTTTATGTTACTATCACTGAAATGAGCTCATTGTGAATTTCTATTATTTGCTGTGAGTTGTTTATATCATCTACAAGTGGTTTAAGGCTTCTATTGATCTAACCTACTCAATTATCCTGCTCATACTTTCTCCAGTTTTTCTAATTTTCCTCTTATATTGCTTCTAATTTATCAAATTATATGCACTATTATTATACTACTTCTTACATTATTATTATTATTATTATTTGTGTTGCACCCTTTGCTTTGTGCAGGTGAAGTGGCAAACTACTTTGATTTTTAAGTTTTTTTTTTTGGGTGTTGGCTTCCGGCCACCCTAGCATATTTTTAAGTTTTTTTTTGGTAATTTTGCTTAAAGGGGACTTTTGGCCCTTGTAGGTTTATTTTTTACTAGTTTTATATCACTTATGAGTAGTAGTGAGCTTAAGGTTTCCCATAAGGACCTTGTAACTTCTTTTTTTATTAACGATTAGGCCCCTCCGTGAGTTTTGTCTAGAAAAAAGGAATGTAAGAACAATAAAGAGTATTAAAATAGAATGTTTGCAAGCCTGTCAATAGAATGTTTGAATATTCTATGTTCTATGGAGTTAATAAAACTATGAGAAGTTAGTAGATATAATTTTCACCCTTACAAGCTTGATAGAGATCAAGGGATGCATATGCTCCAATCCACACCTAAAATTAAGAGTCTCAATAGAAAAAAAAAAATGATATTTACATGGGTAGATTCCTCTACAACTTAAAAAATGATATTAAGTTGTAGATTCCTCTACAACTTAATAGAACCGATCTTAAAAAGTTACACAAGCCCATCATAACACACACACCCCATCAAATCTCAACCTCATCGTCATCCTCTATCTTAGGCTCAACATGTCTATCTAACTCATAAATTCCACATGGGTAGATTCCTCTACAACTAAGGTTCTTTTGTTGAAGATCTTATAGGCTTTATCTATTAAAAAATACCTTAAGAATACTCCATCTATCTTAGAAACAAACATCCTTAAATGAGATTTACAATTCACAAGCACAAAGTATTTGTTGCCAAAATATATAGTTGGGATAAGTTTGGTATCCTACCATTAAGTAGTTCATAGGGTATCTTATTAAGCTTTAACCTAATGTTTACCCTATTCAACCCATAGTAGATAGTATTTATTGCCTCTACCAAAAAATATCTAGGTAAAATATACTCTCCTTAAATTACCCTAGCTGCCTCTATCAAATTCTTATTACCTAAGCTATGTCATTCTATTGTGGTACCTAGGGAAAAGAAATTATGATTAATCCAAAATTATTTATAAATTAATTTAAGCTTTCATGCTCAAACTCTCCATCATGATCACTATGAATTATAAAAATAAAACAACCTAACTTTCTTTGAATACAAGTAGAGAAAATCTTGAACTCATCAAATGACTCACTCTTATATATTTAGAATCTAACCCATAAGAATCTAGAGTAGTCATCTACAATCACAAATACAAAACTCTTATCACCTATACTAGCTATACTTATCTAAGTTCATTATCAAATGAGTCCAATTCAGATTTCAATTCCCAAATTGCCTATAATCTCATCACCTTCTTAATTAAATACAATTCATTCCTCTTGTACTATTCCATGAATGAAACTAGAAAAAGCACCATTCACCTGAGCTGTAAACCCTCATCCTTTATTACAAAACCTATTTGCCAATGAGTCTGAATAAGTCCATATGAACAATTTATAGTGGTTTGGTGGTCAAAATTTCTTATTTGTTTAATTGAATGGAATAAAGTTCTTATTTGTTTCCTTAATTGATAGGCATCATATTGATGATTCTTAGTGAACTCTAACTTGGGAATGCCTCTAACTAAATCCTGTTGGGTTATTTCCTAAGGGTTTTAATAATAACATGACATAGTCTCCTATGCCAAAGCCAATATTCATCCATAATAGTTTTCAAGCAGCAAATATTATTAGAAGAATCACTACAATCCAAATCAAGCATATATATAGTATTAATTCTTTTTTTCCTTTCAAAATGATTTTTTATTTAATAATTAAAAAAATTTATAAAAGAATTTTTAAATTAAAACTTTTATTTCATTGTTAACCAATGCTAAGTTGATTATGCTTTAACCATTCGACATAAAGCACATTTTTAAAAATAAAGCCATTAGTTTTACTAATTGTACCTAAGGAAACATCTTTTTTAGTGCTATTATCTTATAATATCACCTTTCTTATGCTTCTGGCCTCCAGCATGATGAACTTTTTCAAGCCACTAGTCATGTGTCTCGTGCAGCAAATGTCCATATATCACATGGCTTTATTGGACCTCTTGTTTGTGCATTCTAACAAAGTCATTCAAAAGTCTGATTAGGGAACCCAAGTGAGTTTGGGTCCCACCTTATGCTTTGCAAAATTAATGTTATTCATGATATGCTATGATGGTAATAGTTTGAGCCTTTAAATTAGATGTGCTCTATAGTATAAAGTGCAAGTGTACATAATGTTTAATAGGATGCCACAAGAGTAACACCTTACCCCTAGAAATGAGTTCACTAATCTATTTGGGGGAAAATGCCTCT